CTGAGTACAATATGAACAATTTATTATATAAGCCTAACACATATACAGAATCAAATTAACAATAGTACTGGAATATTGGAAAACATCATCAATAGTCCTATATCTGGAAGTGTAAAATTACGACCATGTACATTGTTTTATTCAGAAACTTTAATAAATATATAACTGGGGGTTCAAATTTGATACATATTTGCAAGAATCTTGCTAACAAGATATATTCTAGCTTGAAGGAACACTGACAGAAAAATTTTGTGCTCTCTGTTTAAAATGCACATACACTGTACAGATTAAAATACCTTAAAATATAACTGTCGCAATAAATAATCAGTGGCTAACCTCAAAGGGAAAACAAATTAATTAATACAAAGTACATGTATATTAAAACAATATCAATCTAGCCTATTTTAAAACAAATATCATACATATCTTAAAACATATTTTATTGTCTAAACATTAAATTTAAAGCCAATATATCCTGAAAATTTAACTGCCAGCAGTTACTAATGATTAATCCACACTTTCTACTTGGTATTCTCTTACATATATCTTTATATCAAATAAATATAGTAATAGTTCTGCTAAGATAATTTCCATTAGAATATTACTTAAAACATGTACAAGTCACTAGTAGCAGACAAAATTTTGTGATTAAATCACATGGTATCACACTTCATGGAACTCTGCACTATCCACTTAAAAAAATTATAAGGCAAAGTGTAGCCAAAATGTTACACATGATGGAATTATTTTTTAGTTCGCTCGACTTGAGCTGAGAAGAACAGAAATGTTCTGAGTGGAAAATATTTGTGTCACAGCTTATGAAGGAAGGTAAGCCATGCACAGAACGTTTTTTCATAGTCCTAAAAGGGGCTAAAAACAGCTCTTTCCAGTTAGACACCTGTAACATTTTGTACGATTTGAGGTTCTCACATAATGCTATGTAATCCATTGAAAGTCGATTGAAATTTCAGAGGAACATCTTGCCGTCATCTTCAGGTTCTATTTGCACTTGCTTTCATGTTGGTTTCTTGTTTAGCTCATTCTTCAACCCTGAAGATGGAGGTGACATGTTCCTCCACAATGTCAGTGTACTTTCAACAGACTACATGGTGTTATATCCCAGAAGATAAAACTTTTCTGTAATATTTTATTTTAAACATATTTCATCATTACAGTGACTTGCCATGACTCTCACTTTTCAAAAGATGGCATTAAACATGATCATGAGTAAGTAGCTCAGTCAAATGTGTCATGATTAAAATAAACCTGGGTTTAATTAATACCATCAAAGACACATTTAACTTTATCTCACATACTAATTAAATGCTGCACTGGGTTAAACATCTGTACTGTTATGCTGTCCAGACTTGACAAACAAAAGCAAAGTTTGATTTGTACACCTTCAAGATGATGAAGATAACTCAAATGAACTCAATTCTTAGTTAAATAAAACAGAACTAATAAAATATCACAGACTGCTACTCATGTCATATACATACACAGTGCATCACAATTGTAATATTTTATTTTACAAATCATATAGGGCATCATGGGAATGACAGGAACATGCAGGAACCTTGTTCCCCCATTTATCATGGAACATTACAAATCACAGTATATTGCAATATATAAGGAATAATTAGGAAGTTTACAAGGTATACGCCATCTCCTAAGGAGTCAGGACAGCTCAGTTGGTAAATTGACATGCTATGGACTGGATGGCCTGGGTTTGAGTCCCAGCATGGCAAAATTTTCTATTCTCCACAGCATTTAGAAGATCAACTCTAGGGCCCACCCAGCCTCCTATCCAATTGGTACTGTGTCCAAGTTCCTGGGAGGGGAAAGAAGATAGGGTGTGAAGCTGACGACTCACCTCCATCTAGTGCTGAGGTTAAGAATGATGGAGCTATACCTCCATTCCCCCAAATGTCCTCATGGCATAGTGCTTAATTAATCAAGCACAGGGACAACTCCATCTACTATAGAAGCAATGGTATGTTATCATCAATTAATGATACAGATCATTACACCATTATTACAAAGTTAGTGGAGTCTTTTTTTTTTCAACACACTTCTAGCATTCCTTTGCCAGCAGAAAATTCAGTCATACATATGTAGGACATTTTCCTTCCACAAGAATGTTACATACCTTGATTCATAGAGTAGGTGGACATTAAATATAATAATGTAATTAACTGAATCTTTTGTATTATACAACCATGACTCATAAGCTGTTCTTCTACAATCCCCACATATTGATGCTATATAGTTTGTGATATGAAGCAACATTTGTAAGGCCAGTGATGTAAAACTGAAGATGACATAGAAACAACAAAATAGTGGTTGAAAGAAGAGGACACAGACTTCTTTGAATAGGGGACAGAAAATTCACCCTTCTGTATCAAAGAGTCACAGTTTCTAAACTGACAGCAAGAAACGGTTTATAACTTGTACAATTATTTATTGCATGTTATCCACACTGAAGACACAGTGAGTCACTTCAAGATATATGTACCTTATAAATTCCACTTCTGCCTCCCCTCATATAATCTGACAGACTCCAACCTATAAGACATTCTACATACACTACAGAAAATAACACCAAAATACATTACCAGTCACTGATGTGAACAGTAAATTCTGTAGTCTGACACTGATTGAACATGTTACATGGATAGCAACAGCCCAAACAAATCAAGACCAGATAAAAAGAAAAAAAAAATACTCGAATGATAGCTAACTCTGTATTTCAGTGCAGCAACAAAGAAGTTAGTTATTGTGATGCAGTTAAAATATTAATATAGTACGACTTCCTGAATGTTATTTTCAAAGAACCGAATTATGAATACTTCATGAGGAAACCTGTTAGGAAGGGATATGAAGTTACATGGAAAAGGAAATCCTCTTAAACAGAAATTCTTAAGCTGGTTTTACTGTATATGCTGACACACTATAAGGTGTAGTATATTCACCACCTAAATATATAATATTTAGTATTATTACCTGAAACCAGAGCAATTAATCAATCCTGCAAATAATTTATAGCTATGCACACAAGTACTCAACAACGTTATATGAAAATTGAAATTAATAATACTTATGAGGCAATATTCATTCACTCCATTTCACCCTACAACTATCAGCACTTTTCTGTATTCCAGCAAGAATTTTATAAAACAGAACTGCAAAAAACTGTATTCATTATAATGGTCATATGGTATCACTCTGAACCATGCTTTAGAAAGGTACAGGAATTTTAACAGAAGTTTTGGATAATATATGAGTATTGCAAATGAACATGTACACTTTGTTCATTTCTCTAATATGCTGTAATGAAAGGGCATGTAAGTCTAAAAGTTGGGTATTTTACACACAAAATATTCATAAAATTGTCATCATTCAAGGAAATTATTCCCAGAATTATTCAATTACACCCTGTTCAAAGAGCACTCCAACATACTGTTCTCACTAAATTAAAAATTTTACAACTGGTAGTACATATTGATCACTGTGACACTGATACTTGTAAAGTTTACATAGGACAAGAGAATTCAAAATATTTTTATATGTGAATATCATATTTATGCATAAAAGTAAACATTTCTAAACTAAAAATAAGTTATTAAAAATTATACTCATAAAGAAAATAAAATCCTGCTATGTGAACAAGGCAGAGAGACATGCAAGTGTCTCTAATATAGAGACTCAATACACTTCATACCTATTAAATTACTATATATCACGGCTTAATTGTACAGCATTTCAACATAGACAGAGCTAGGTTAATCAATATGAGAATCCATAGATACACAAGAAGAAAAAATTATCATAAAAACATATAAAACTATTAAAAGAGGTCTGCAATTATAAAGTTACAATTTTTTTCTATTTTATAATTCACAGCTATACCCATTTATGTGGCAATCTCTAGCATGTAATTTTAAACTACTGTAAAGTGACCAACATTAATATTTACAATAAAAGACTGTCACTATATCTGGAGAGGGAAAATAAAATTGTATTTTAAATTTACTCTTCACGTTATTGAAATTTTCTTCCTGTCACACCATTTATGGAGAAGGAAATATTCTTCTGTACAGGGATTAATGGTTAAAGTATATGATTTTTAGTAGTGATAAATAAATCTCTATGTAGTAAGAGCAATAACTGTCAATAAAATTAACATCTATATAATCTACTATCAGGTTTTATAGAAAATGTTCCCTGACAGATAAGAGCTTCAAGTATTTACTGTTCTTCACTGTGACCATGGATTCTTATACCTGAAGAAGCTGATTCTATTTAATATATTTTACAATATACTTTTAATTTAACACATTATTTTAATCAGGTGATTCTATCAGCTCTCTGAATTATTACAGGTATATAACAAATTTTGTACAAAACAACAAGTAGTACAAATACTGCCATATAGGGTTCGCTTACATATAATCACTGAACTGCTCTCAAGTATAATTGTACACATCAGCTTTCAAAATGTTGTTACCTTCCTTTCCATCTTATTGTACTTCAATTGTCCTTTGGCACAACCTTACGAAAATAAGCCCTTGTACAACTGTTGGTGATGAATATAATCTGACATATTATCACAGGCTTATGGAAGATTATGATACAGTAAGGAATATTGTAACCATGATAACAATGGGCATACCTTCAATGTAGCACATGATACCATTCCTAATGCTATTAATAAGCTCAGGTCATGGTAGTCTTTTATCTTACTTAAAAAAACATTTTTTCATCCATTTCTTTATTGTCAAGTAAAACTGGATGATTTTAAAATTTTAAACAAGAAAATCCATGCTGGTTATAAACAAATAAACTTTAAAAGAGATATTGAATATCATCAAGCTCAACTAGGATTTGTCAAGAAATGTAGAGCGCTGATGCTCTATCTTTATACCACCTTGACATGTGATATTTAAAAGTCTGAAATGAACTTGAAAATGACTGACAGAAATTGCATGGTTGTGATTTGTAAAGAATTTCATTATAGGATTCATAATTAAACCAATTAAAAACATCAGGATATAAATACTGATGAAGGAATGTCAATTTAAATTGGACTTATGTCCTAAATGTAGCTGAATACATTTAATGCCAACAAAAAATCTAATATAGACCATTTAGATTTCTCTGGCATTCATTATTTCAATTCAATGCTCTTAAAACACCATAACCTATAAATAAAGTAGCCTAAATATTAGGCTTCTCATTCAGTTTCAGGATGGACAACATTCCAAACACTGACATATGAACCAAAACCAAAACCTACCAGACCAAAGATCATAATTGAAATATCTTTCCAGAGGATCCAACTCTTCTTTCCAAATCCTTTGTGCCAGAAGGTGATGATCTCAATGATGGGAGGAAAGACAAGAGCCAATGTGGAACTGCTTACTGCTCCAACTAGTGAAATAACTGCACCCAAGTTTGGAATCATAGCGGCAAGAGCAACTGCAGGAAAGTAAAGTAACATTTTATCATACTGCAGCTTATTTTGTTAACACAAGGGTTGGAACTTTAATAGTGGCAACTATTGATTTACAACTGATACAAAATAGATGCATGTTTCGAAGTTTTACTGTCCTTCAATGTAGTCACCAGCATTGTGTACAACCCATTGAAAGCGATGTGGAAGTTGTAGGATACCTTCAGTAGCACCTGTTGTGTTGATAGTTCGAATGGAGCGGTCTACTGCCTGAAGAATCTCTGGAACAGTTCTGAAGAGAATGCCACACAGTGGTTCTTTCATCTTAGGAATCAAGTCAAAGTCACAAGGGCTTAAGTCCGGGGAGTATGGTGGATGGTACAGCACTTCCCAGCCCCATCGATCAAACAAATCAGACACAGCTTGCACTGCATGCGGCCAAGCATTAACTTGCAAAATGATGGGTGGGTTCTGCAGAAAGTGTCGCCACTTCTTTCTCAAACCTGGTCACAGGTTGTGTTCCAAAAATGAATAGTAATACTGCGCACTGACAGTCTGCTGTTGGGGAATGGTATGCATTAGGATAACACCATCACAGTCATACATGAGAATCACCATAACTTTCACATTGCTGGGGTTCTGACAAACTTTTGATTTTTGTGGTGAACATTAATGACGCCATTCGTTCGAATGGCATTTCATTTGTGGGTCGTACAATTTGGTCCATGTCTCATCCAGCGTAATGATTCGGCATAAGAAAGCCTCTCCTTCATGCTCATAGCGCTCCAAGTGGTTACGAGCAGCGTCGTATCATAGTCATTTCTGCATTTCCATTAAATCATGCTGAACCCATTGTGATGCAATTTTTCTCATGCCCAGGAGTTCCTTCAGAATGTGAAGCACAGTCATGGGCGCTAATCCTGTCTCTCGGGCTAGCTCACAAATCGTATGGCATCAATCACTCTCCAGTAACACGAAAATAGCATATACTTCTTCTTCACTGACTCTAGGACAACCTGGCCAATGCATGTCTGCCACATTTTGGCGTCCCTCGTTGAAGGCTTTTACCCACCTTGCCACTGTTCTGTAAGGCAATGCAGATTCCCCGCAAGCCTCTTGAAGACCTTGATGACACTGTTGTGCTGTACAGCCTCTGGCACATTCAATCTTTATCCAACTCCATTGTTCCTGTTTCGAAAACACTGTGACAACGCTACATTAGACCGCCAGCTAACACAAGGCTCTGTTCTTCTCTCTCACTGCACATGCGCATGATGTGGGAAGGGAGTCTATTTGCTCTGAGGTAAGGTAGGTATGTAACTAATGTATGGTATAAGCGACATTATTTGGTTCCATTGCATGGTGTCTGTACAGCAGTGTTGCCACTATTGAAGTTCCAACACTCGTATAAAATGCTTCCAATTATCCATCCATAGAATATGTTGTTTGTAAATTATATGTGCATGCATTTCTCTTTTAACTTTAATACTTACTATATCTAATGAGGATCAATAAAACACTGTACTGTTATTACATGAAGGCACTTTGATTCTATCTCCCACCCTTCATATTATATCTTTCTAAAAATCTGTTTTCTGCATCCTTCACATTTTATCACTGGTTGCTGAGGTGTTTATATGGAAAGATAAAGACCAAAATAAACTGCGCTACTATTGTGCCTTTAGTCGCTAAAATTATGATCATAACACTAGCATGAGACTACACAATGCAGTATATGTGCATGCGTGTTTTCATAATAATATAATTTTGGGTTGTACATACAAACAAAAAAACTCTGTGGCTTGTAGTCCGCAAGTGAACTATACCAAGCGACCACCACTTGTCAGCAAAGTTAGTGTCAGCTTTCACATGCTTTTAATAATCTTTTATGGATGACTAACTACGACATTTGGGATTATACTATAAAAAAGTGTCTTTTTCAAGTTAATTTTGCTACTTCTGTGCACATGCACACACACACACGCACGAGTCAATTATTTTTATTTTTGTTTGGGGAAGAAATAAGACTATTTCATAGTGACCATGGATTTGACATGCAAGTGAGAAAGTCTATTATTTAAAACGTGATAATTATAACTATGAAATATTTGCATTGACTTAACATACATACAGACATTATCAAAACACATAAAAACAGTGTTGTTAATAATTAATTCTGACACAATATTCCAAATTCTGACTGCATTCTAGATGTTACAACATGCATTAAACCAAATCTGGAGTAGCCCCATGCAGGTGAATGACAATAGTAAATATATGTACTAAGGATTCCCAAAATGTTAAAACTATATTTAATTTTCTTTTCTTTTTTTTTTTTTTTTCATGATTACAATGCCTTCTCTGTAGTAATTATGGGGGAATGAGTTGATGCTGTATAACTGATTCCCACAGGCCAGACTATATTTTCGTGCAGGTCACTTCTGACCTGCAGCTTATGTTTTGCCACTCTTGATATAAAGATTCTAAGTAATGACTTTCATGGTGAGTTCCTTAAGAGAGAACGACAACTTCTGCTATGTGTTTTCCAAACAACTTTTAGGTTTATTACTGATTTGAAGGCTATTTGATAACATTCTCTACAGAGTTGTAGTTAACAACCCGAGATATGGTGACTTGAGATAGTAAAGGAATGTAAACATATAGTATACATGCATTTATGTATATACTTATAATAATCTAGTGAACAGTAACTAATCTGAAATGGAGCTAATTAAAATAAACATGTAGCATAAACAAAAAGACAAAATGTGTAAAAATAAAGTATTATTCTTTGGATGCATTAACTTCAAAATTTCTTAAATGAACAATCATAAAACAAGAAGTATGCAGCATTAAAACAGAAAAAGAGTTCCCCAGATTAACTCTTTACATTCCTACAGAGATATCTTCATGATCTACATTGCAGGTTTATGTTACAAATCACTGCTTTGTGTGTTGTATCAACATGACATGCTACATTGCCTAAACTCATTGCCTTTGGCTTACAGAACAGTTCTGGATAATGCTTGGATGGGCTGGAGATCAGCTTTTGGAACTATTCCATTCAGTCAGTTAATATGTAATTTTGGATTTTTCTGAGATGGTGGTCATGTTTGGGTTTTTCTTGTATCTTAGAACGTTTCAGCAATACATTTCTATAGTATCTGTATCAATGGTGCATCTCAGTGGTGGTGAAGTATTACTCTTTTCACTGGGTGTTGATTTTACAGAAGTAATCATAGCCAGAATGCCGTTTCCTGTTTCCAAAAACCTCAGCTTCAGTGGGTTAAATGAACTAAATCTAATGTCAACAGAACCATAATACAGTAATTCTAAATGATCAGGAAGTTCTGAATCTTCTCATTCTGTTTGAAAGGATTATGAAGATTGTCTGATTGTTAAAAGAAGAAACTTACATGTGAACACTACTAAACAGGTCCTGAGGAAGTAGTTACCAAACATCTGGGCTTGCTCACTTTGAAGATGGGGCCTGACCAATGGCCAAATGATGTTCATTGGAACATAGAATTGCAGTCCATATGACAAGAATATTGCCAGAGCCATCATCAAACGTACAGACTGAGCCAAACTGAAACAAATACACACAATTCATATTATTTGGGGTGGGAAAAACAGGGTATTTGTGACTGTTTGTTTTCATACTTACACCCAGCCTCTTCTTGCCATTAAACTTTTGGTCACAAGGAGTCATGCATTCAGAAGCAGAGAATTTTTAATTTTTATGTCATGCTTTTAACATTTTTTGCAAGCCCCTTGCACTTGAGTTCACGAACTTTATAATAATTTCTCATGTTTTCACTACTGACACATAATTAAAAGTTACACTTGATATTTTCTACTGAAGTCCTTTTGACACTTGAACAATTACAAATGTATCTCCAAGTGTTCAGTAGAATTTTCAGAATATGAGAAACTGAGGCAGTGAAGTAACATATATGTTTGCATACAGACCTAGAAAAGCAAGTTTCAAGAACTGAGTATTTTGGTATCAGAGGCAGGCAACAGACTGACTTATTTTCCATATCAGGGATGCAAATAAAAACATTCTGAAATTACCAATTTTGCACAAAATTCGTAGGATATACAACTCAACTTCCAAACTCATTAAGTTCATTTGAAATACTGTGTCCTCTTGGAAAGACTTGGGACATGCTCTCGATATATGGCACGTTCACCATTTTATGATTTACCTATAAATTACACTCACTACCAGGAAAATTGCAAACTGTAATTTCATAATAATGGACATACACACAGTTTGCAGTCTTTTATTGTTGAATAGCAAGTGGATTTACAGGTATATTCATAGTTCATGAAAAGTTAAAAAGATACTTACATGTCATCTGGTGGAAGATTGAGTGTAATACTGCCCTGAACCTTATCCCCATACTTCAGATAACCAAAGAAACCAACTGATGTATACAGGGCTGCAACTATCACCATTCCTGTGTTGAGAACTCCTGTCCAGCCACCAAAATCTTGAGGATTTTTCATATTGTTTTCCAGGGGCAAAACCTACAGAAGATGACAAACTCTGAAGAAATAATATACTCATGTATGTAACTGAACTTATGTGTATTATTATTTATTATTATTATTATTATTATTATTAGAAGGGGTGGCTTTACCCAAGCACTTAGATCAGTTATTGGTCCATTGTGCGTCCCCCTTTAATTTCTACTGTCCCCATACCCTACTGGTACTGGTGCGTGCTATCAGCCCCGTTCAGCCAACGACGTCGGCCGTCAGTACCTGATATTTTCCCCATCTACCAGAGGCGTTGGAAACTACTTGGGCGGGAAATTGTTGCCTAATTAATTTTGCTCAGAGGTCTCCTAGAGACATGAGGATCTTTTACGTGCTGTAAATCTATGACACGGGACCCACGGCTTAAAGTCCCTCCCGGAGGACTTTTGATGAACAGGTCAATTTGCTGCCAAGCGGCAAACTTGCAAAGGATATACAATAACTACACAAAAACTTAGAGTCATATTGCACAAATTAAAGGCAGTTTTAGATCACAGTTTTGATAACAAGCTATATAAGAGATCTGAAGTTCTTAAGTGTACATATATACAGGGTGTCCCAGGAGGAATGGACCAAACTTCGGGAGGGTGTTCCTTATGTTAAAGTATGCTGATATAACCCAAAACACTTATGTCCAAAGTTGAATGGTTATGGAGATAATGACCCGAGAAAAGTGTGGTCTTCTGGCGGGTCCACGCACTATACCTGTCAGCTGAGAACTCTTATCTGTTTGTCCTTGAGTGTCGTAATTCACACTAGCAGGAAGCTCATGCGCTACCTACAGAGTATGGTGCGGCGGGGTCGTGAATGGTTGGTAAATTAGTTGTGTGATGAGTTGCTGAAATGCCTCTTGTGTTTTCACACGTGGAATATTGTGATATGCATTTTGTGTGTGGATTTTGCGGTCGCAATGCACGTGCTGCTGTTGAAGAATACCAAAGGCGTTTTCCTGATCGAAGGATTCCATCTCGAAGTGTATTTACACGAATTCACCAGACATTGTGTGATACTGGTTCTCTTGCTATTGTTTCTGTGCACTCTGAAAGGCAGGATGTATGAATGATAGACACACGAGAGCACATTCTTGATATTGTTCAGTGAAGTCCACGTCTGTCACTCGTAGAATCGCCTTTCGCATCGGCGTATCATGTATTCAGGTGTAGCAAACTTTACATTATGAAGAGTTATCCTTACCATGATCAAATGGTACATCTGGAACCAGGCGACCATGCACAGCGTATGGATTTGTGCCACTGGATAAAAAGCTCATCCCGAACTGTTAAGCGTCATTTTATTCAGTGATGAGGCGTCTTTTACCCTGGATGGTGTAAATAATTTACGAAATGTGCATATGTGGTCCCATAATAATCCACATGAGATAATGGAAACGAAATTCCAAAAGAGATTTTTGTTATGTAGTCTGTTTATACCACTATGCGCAGCCAGCCATATTACGTCAGCGCTTGCCAGTCATGTGTCATGTATAGTGCTTGGAAACCCTAAGGACAATTATGACATGGCGAGCGAGTATTTTGTACTTCAATTTTATGGCTTCGCGTCACTCATTGATGTCACATACATTATTAACATTACAGAATCCACATATTCCTGCCAGTTTTAATATGTATTTTGTAACCAACAAGTGTGTAACAGCGGTCAAAGTTTCACAATTCTCTGGCCATTATCTCCGTAACCGTTCAACTTTGGACATAGGTGTTTTGGGTTATATCTGCATACTTTAACATAGGGAACACCCTCTCAAAGTTTGGTCCATTCCTCCTGGGACATCCTGTATATAGTGACTTTGTATGTACATCATCATTTTCAAATCTGTTTACACACTAAATAACCAATGCAGTTCATGGTGTCATTAAATAGCCTCCAAAACAATTTCCAAATAGGGCTGCCTTAATTTGTTTCATTCTTTTTATCAATGGCTGAGATCATGTATCACCAAGATGATTGGGCAATAATTAGTGATTATTTGGAAATGAGTGATCATTACAAATTTTAACCCTCTCATAGACTGTGTCACCCTTTGGAGCAACTTCTGAAGTAGCACCTTTGTTTAAGTTCTATTACAAAGGAAGTGCTGTCAAGTGATAGGGTGACTTTACATGGGGTTTGCATTGGTAATCATATTTATTGCGCACTTGTACATCTCATTAGTTTACATGTATCTCATTATGTACTATAATTATGTAAAAACAGTGCAGTTCTATAAGCAGAAATATGATTACAGTGCAGCATTGCTGTGAAGCTTGTGCGGAAAGTTTCTGTGTACATGAGTTTTATGTGGTTAATTTTTTTTTTTAGACCTCAAATTCCATCCAGCTAACCTTCAAGTCACACAGGTTGAGAAATACCAGCATACTACACAGGAAGGATAAAAATTGTTTTATACTTACCATACCAATGCCTTCAAAGGCATATATGGCAGTCCCAAAATAGAGTGGCAACTGCTTCCAACCAGCAAAAGCCTTCACAGTGGAAGTGTGAGGCAGACCCTGTAGCATGTAGAAGAACGTAATACCCAGGCCAGTAACGGTGATGACAGCAGCAAACAGTGAGACAGGGGTGAGAAACTTGAGGTTCCTCACCCAGTTCAGAAGAATCATGGGCAGTAACAGCATCAACAGATAGTAATGTACACTAAGGTTGAAGCCAAAGAAGTATTTCATAACCTAAAACACATTAAAACACAATTCTGAAAGAGAAATTCAAAATGTCAATAAATTTAGCCATTTTATATGCCTCGTCATGCACTACATATCCACGGATTTCATTAGTTGCCTTGTTATGGCTTTAAATATAAAGATTACATATTAAAATTCTTACAAATATAACCATCACTTTTCCCAGAATCATGTTTACCAGTACTCTCACCCTTGGCTCTAACCTCAAGGTCAAAACAACTGTAACTTCTGATAGTTTATTGCTTGCTGGTATGTGTTCAGACTGAAGAAAAAAAATACCCTGAATGCAACTATATAAATGAAGAAAGCAGTCTTCTGGGATTTGGCACCGTGTATATGTGGTGTTAACCGACGTTTCGGAGGAACGTATCGCCTCCATCTTCAGGGTAGAAGGAAAAATATATAAGAAATCTGCAAGCAAAGAGACCGTGAAGATGGAGGCGATACGTTCCTCCGAAACGTCGGTTAACACCACATATACACGGTGCCAAATCCCAGAAGACTGCTTTCTTCATAGTCACCGCTGTGAAGGCCTCAAATCTTACAGCTATATAAATGTTACAACTGTCCCTTTATAGCTACAAATCTATTGCTTGGTGGTGTTCAGGTTTGAGGGGGGGGGGCTGACTACAACTATATAAATGTTGAGTATGAGGGGTGAGCCATAAAACTGGCCCTAGCACTGCGACCTTCAATGGTCTATTGTGATTGTATGAGTATGAGTATGGTATATAAATGTTACAACTGTCCTTTCATCACATCATTGAGCAGCAGATTTATATTTTGAAAGTACAGAGTATGAATCTCAGCTGGGTTATTAGCTATCCCAACTGAGGACTTTCAAGGTGTCTTATCTCCAGATGAACACTAATAAGTACCCAGAAATAACCCATCATTACCTCCTTCCAAATACATGCAAAATTAAAATCTGTTTATATGCCTGAAATATTTTAGGGACACAGGAATTTTCCAAACCTCAGAAAAGTTCCGACTATTCTATCCGATAGCTCTTTCATTTTGTATTTATACAAACTAGTAGCAGTTTATTATGTTGTCTGTGGCCCACTATCCTTGCAATCAACATACAATATAGAATGTTTCAGAATGTGCAAATTGGCTGCTTCTGTTCCATTATTTTTTCTTATTTCTGTCAATTTCAAGCATTCCCAATTCATATAACAGAGTTGAATGCTAGAACTTTATAAACTTTAGGCATAATCTCCTTATATATTGTAACAGACTGATCAATGCACTGCCAGGCAACATCTCTGTAAACGTGGTCCAACACGCAGCAATAGGGGAAGCTGTGTTTTCCATGTCAGCGGTGATGTCACACAACAGTAGGTAGTGATCACATGATGTGTGTTTACTGTGATGCATGTCCATTCTGCGGCTATATATGTAAGAGTTCAGGAGGGTTCAGAGTAGTTACGAGTGGTAGTAGCAGCAGAGGCGTACAAATAAGGGGTAGTAGTAAGCTGGAGGAGTATAGCAAGTAAGTAGTAGGCTTGAGGAGTACAGAAGAGTGCAAGAAGTCAGCCTATGAAGATTTAATGTATGATTTGATGACTTTATGTGTGTTGTAGCACAGTTATATTGGAAGTGTGTGATTTAATGAGGCTTTTATAGTTTCTGTTATAAATCCGTGGAGACTAGTGCAGATAGACTGAAGAGCTTAGCGTGGAATGCTTTGTAGTGTGTAAATCGGCATAGTGTAATACTTAATTATAGTTACAACCTGTGGGTCATTAACAAATCCAATTACGTACTAATTCGAACGCTGCCTTTAGTCACCCACATGTGTGGGAATATATTGTGACGTGTCGCGCTAGCTGGACCCCTCCCCCGGAGCTGACGAGCCGAGCAGAGCCGAAGTGAGCCGAGCGGGGCCGAAGTTAGCCGAGTCCCATCATCCTGGTAGCTATGCAATGCAAGTCAACAGCGGTGACATCACCAAGGGGTACCGCGGTTGCTAGGCAGCGCGGGTAAACAGTGGTTGCGAGAGATGATGGTAGTAACAGCGGTACACAGCGTTGCTAGCACGACGGCACCAGACAACAGTGGTGCCTATTACGTGGCCGTTTTCTGTATTGTCCGAACGAGGCTACATAAGGAGCAGCGAAGGCTATTCACAGTCAGTCCTCGAGCTACCACCGAGTTAGTTCCGAGGTAGCCAGCCACAAGTCAGTTGCATTTGTGATACTGCAGATAGCAGTAATTGTGAATCTGTAATTTGGGTGATTGTAAGTGCGAATGTGAAATAAAATTCGCTATATCAAATACAGCGTGAAGTTATTTGTCGCGTTATACACCCAATACGTGACAATATAATGAAATCATATGCAGACTCTTCACTTACGTTTCCCTTACCTTAATAATTAGACACTGAACACCATTTTTCTGAGAGGAATATTAAATACGAATTCTACTGTAATAGTTCCTTTGTATGAATATTTATTCTAGAACATGCTATACTTTCTAAACATTGATACCAACTAACCATACCTCTTCTAAGTTGGCTGCCACAAAAACGAAATAAACACAGCAGAATCCAAGCTGAGTAATGCACAGGAATACATTAATAATTATCCTCACAGCTTGAGAGTATTTTCTTAGATTTGGTGGCCCAGTCTCAAATGCAGTTTCACACACTTCAGAGAAGCCCAAAGCTGGAACTTGAATCCGTTGACACAATTCATGAGAACATTTAACCTGCAAAAAAAGAAAAGAATGAAAAACTTCTGCCTTAATTAATTAACATCAATATTAACACTTGAAAGACAAATACAGCAACAAAATAACTACTATGAACATAGCAATGTGCTGATCTACCTTGAAAGGAATCCTATTGCATGTCAAAAATAATCAATAACTCAGAATTAATTTGGAGCTGAAGTAAGCCTGGGGAAATAAGCAGTAAAAGTGAAGAAGAGGAGGAGAAGAGAAAAAGAATTTCTAGACACAAATATTTTATCATCAAAGACAGTCAAGGAAATACATTCTTTAAACATAATTTTATGATTTTACGTATTTAATTTATAGACAACAAATGGCATACATCAACAATGGCTAACAATTCTCATCTTGAGCTTACCTCAAACTAAACAAAGATTAAAAAATTCTTTGATCACCCGGTACAGATAGGGTAAAATTCTTAAAAAGGGTGTCCAGATGAAAGGTATCCAAAATAAAATCATTATATCTCAGAAAGAATTTATTATACATATTAATGGTTTAGACAATTACAAAGGGAACCTATTAAAGTTTCTTTTCTGCATATATAACTTTCTCAATACATTTAAATATGTGCTACCTTGGTGGTACGACAAATATCCAGATGATACATGACCTCGTTCCACATTGCTTGAAGCATGTTTGGTGTTACCGTAGCCACAACATCCTTTATGCAGGCTTTCAAGTGTTGAAAGTCGTTGATCTTAACCTGGTAGACAATGCTCTTAACATAGTCCCACAAGAAAAAATCCACTGGGGTTAAATCTGGTGACCTAGGAGGCCAAGTGATTGATCCACCTCTACTAATTCATATCCCAGCCATCTCTCTGTCCAGGTGATTTCTAACATGGTGGAAAAAATGTGGCAACATATGTGTGTAAGCCAGGCATGAAAAAAAAAAAAAAACTTTTGAGTTTTCCTTTCCAATGACATAAACCAAATACGTGTATGACAATTAGTTTCCGAGATATAATTTTTTTATTTTGGATACATTTCATCCGGACACCCGGTACATGTAACAGATAACACAATTTAACCTGTAATGAGTATGAATAAGCTGGGAGGAATAAAGAGCTATACTACTCAAAATAATATAAAGGGAAAAATATAGGGTTGATGGGTGGATGGGCATGCAGGCACACAGGCAAGAGGATGAACGGAGAGAGTATGTTTAGTTATTCATGGACTTTATGCTACTATACTAAGTGCTGAGGCTGTAATGGCAGGCAACATGATGGCAAATGATGAATCAGGGGAAACATGGCCCTTTTTATTGTTGGATTTGAGTTCTCATGATAGTGACTACGAAAAGTACTCGTACTATCTTCTCAGATGTAATGCTGTGTAGTCTAAGTTCACCAATGTTTAGAGGAATATACTGCCAACTTCTCAAGGACTGAAGAGTACACTAAGTGGTAAGACTCCTTCTAACTTGTTACTTGCTTGGCTTACTCTGAGGCACTGAGGATGGAGGCAGTATGTTCCTCTAAAACTTCAAGACTATACAGTTTTACAACCCAGGAGATGGGATTCCTTATGACCAAGTTTGGTTTATTCATTTATTTTATGATACTTTATCATATGCTAAATTGCATAATGTCAGATGTACCATAACATGAAAGTGGACAACAAATGAGGAGGAATGTGGGTGTACACAGTTTCAGTCTATTATAAGGTATTATCTTTGCATTTACGTGGCGGGAATGAGAAAAACCATTAAAATCCTTCATCAGGATAGCCAGATAATGGTCAGAATTCATTCAAGGTACCTCCAGAACACATGTCAGATGCGTTATCATTATGCTACTCCACTTTGTACCACAGCAGAAATAATAAAAAGGTAGAAATGTAAAGTCATCCCTTTAACAGGTTGTGAGACATCAAGGCTCCCACATTTTCTAGATAATCTGCTCACAGATGGCGGTACGGTTGTCAGCCGCATGTACCTGCTGCCCTTTACTCCCAGAAAGATTCCTGATACTCATTTCTGTTAGAGGCTGAGTCAACACCAGGGCCACAGTGTGTCTGGACGGATTAGTTCAGTTTAAATTGAATTTGACGACCTCGTTGGGAAACGAAGCCGTGACCTTTTGCCTTAAAGCACAGTGCCTCAACCAACTATGCTACTGCGTGAAATGATAGTGTTATGAAAACAGATGAGAAAGAGCACTAACTAAACAATATTCTCATCCACAAACTGGTGATCTAAGTGCTGAATATCAGCCTTCTTTTCTCTGTTTTTCCTCATGAGAAATGTTAGCATTAAGATGGCTGTATTATTTAGTATGGAAAAATTAAATGAATAAATCCATAAGGAAATCACTGCAGATATAATGAAAACAAAAAACAAATTTTACAAGCCTACTACAGTTATAATGTGTAACTGAGAAATTTTAGTGCGTGGAGGGGAGGGGGGAGAGTGTGTGTGTGTGTGTGTGATCACAATTTATTAAGAGCCTCATACAAAAAACTATACATACACTCTCATGGCATGAGGGGTGTAAACTTGGATATGAATGAAGAGGCAGGTAAAATTGTTTACAAGCAGTAGATTTATTTGTAGTTTGCTTAATGATGCTTCCAGCAACTCAGATTATATAGCACTGAATGATGATAATGAATTAACGAAGTGAGGAAGATATGGAAGGAACTGGTCACGGCTTCATTCAAATTACTATCCTGGCATTTGCCTGGAGAGACTAAGGAAAGGTACAAAAAGAAAGTGTGTCTCAGTCAAGATCTGAATTGAGCTCCCCCTGAATACAAGTCAGTGGTCAACTTCCTTGGAACATTCATAGTATGCATCCTGTTGTGTGTCATTCAATAAAAATATACAAATCAGACAGTCAACACAACAAATAATTGAAACCGAAATGAACTAAATATTAGGGTATCAACATTCATTTATTTGTGCAGATATTAATGCTATATATTTTGACTTTTCCTTAGGTTTTCTCCTCGGGACAGTAGTAGAGATGAACTTCCACAGAGTAACAAGAAATAATCAACAGGGAATAAAATACAAAACCAGAACACTATGCTACATATAAAAGGATAAATGTCCCAACAAAGTTGGTTAATTTAAGGACACAGCTATGCAGACATTTGCTATGCATGGATAACAACATAATCCCTTTCTAAGAGTGAAAAACAAAGATGTCAAATCAACAACCATTTTCCTTAATGCTGTTGAGTACTGCTTGCAATTCCCTTTGCTTCTCAGACACTGTCTCAAAATGTCGTCCATTCTGTGTCATTTTCAATTTGCGAAACAAAGCAAAATCACAGAGGGCCAAGTCCAGCAAGTATGGAGGGTGGGGAACGATAACCATATTGATGTTAGTCACAAACTCTGTGGTTTTCAGGGAACCTGTCATGATGGAGGAGGCAGTTGTGGTTGCGCCAAAGTTCCTGTCTTTTTCGTTGCACATTTTCTCTTAAATGTCTCAAAACATCACAGTAAAAGTCAGATTTGACCACAGTGTTAGGAGGAACAAATTCATGGTGAACAATCCCCTTAACATTGAAAAAACAATGAGCATGCTTTTTGTTGAACTCCAGACCTGCCGCACCTTTTTACTCTTGGTGATTGTGAGCTCTTCCACTGTGATGATTGTTGCTTTGTTTCTGGATCATAACAGTAAATCCAACTTTTGTCACCTGTTATGATCCTAGAGATAGAAGTTGGGTCCTCGTTAGCCTTCTCTAATAGCTCATGACACACGTTTACACGTCACTGCTTTTGATCATTTGTCTAGAGTTGTGAACAAACTCTGCGGCAATTCAGTGCATGTTCAAATTTTCTGTCAAGATATCCTCAGAAACTTCAACAGTGTCTGCGAGCTCACAGATTATTCGGCGACGGTCTTCATTTATAAGTTCTCAAATTTTTTTTAACATTTTCTGTCATTTTGGTGGTGCTTGGACGTTCGTCATCTTCAATTGACACTCGATCGGCCTTCAAACGTGAATGCCATTCAAAAACCGCTGTCCGGCTTAAAGAATGTTCTCCAAATTCCTCATAAAGCATTTTGAATGTTTCAGTAGTGGATTTACCGAGCTTCATACAAAACTTGATGCAGAGACATTGCTCGATTTTGCCATCCATCGCGGACAAAAAGAAACAGGAAATTGAAAAAGCACTCATGTAAAAACAATGTGTGTTCACAGCACAGTGTCACGTGGCATACTGATACAATTGGTTTGCAGAAGTGTGACCTTGGCCATCCCTCTCATCTTCTTTCACCAAGGCAGTTACCACAACAACTGTCCAGGAACCTAAACAAATCTGTGTCCATTGAAAGCTCTGAACATTCATGTAACATCATACTGAACATTTTAATATTCAGTATTTTAAGGTATAACATGTATAGGGGGCATTAAACTTCAACACAAAAATTACATAATAAAATATATCTAATGTAATCATTAGCCAATGTAGAGAATGAACAATAAAGCTAACAGTGAATGTACAAAACCTGATGACCGGCCAAGGACCAAAACAAGCAGCAAGGCTTTAACTTATACTATACCTATACAAAGCGGCCTCCATAGTCTAGGGGTAATGTTCCCACCCCATGACTCAAGGTATGCGGGTTCAAACCCAGTGGAGGTCGTGGAATTTTTAAGGGCGGAAAAATTCAGGGAACAAGTCCTCTGGGAGGGACTTTAAGCCATGGGTCCCATGTCGTAGGTTTACGGCACGTAAAAGATCCTCATGTCTCTAGGAGACCTCTGAGCAAAATTAGGCAAAATGTTTCCTGCCCAAGTAGTTTCCAATGCCTCCGGTAGATGGGGAAGTTATCGGGTACCAATGCCAGTAGAGGGCCGACCTCACTGGCAGAAAGGGGAGAGTTATCAGGTACCACTGCCAGTAGAGGGCCAACCTCGCTGGCAGAAAGGGGAGATAGCAAGCACCAGTATCGGTAGGGTATGGCGGTAGTAGAAATTAAAGGGGGACGTACAACAGACTATTAGTCGCGGTGCATGGGGAAACCCACCCCCTCTATACTGAATAACTGAATACCTATACAAAAAGCTGCGATGAGAACTGACAACACAGAACATTCCAGTCACACAACAGCTGGTTTCCCAGTCAAGATTCAAACTGAGCATCTCCCAAATACACATCTAGAGCATTAGTGCTACATCAGCCTCCTTAGTGTGGGAGAGAGTGGGTGTAGATAGAAAAGGAGCACAAAAAAGAGAAGACAAAGAGGAACATAACAGGACCACCATAATTTAAGCTGATGATGATAGTGAACAGAATTTTCAGTTTATTAGTGAAATAAGTGGCAGATCTTACCAACATGTGCATGCAGTGAGTGCAGATGATGCCCATGAGTAAAGTCCCCATGGTTCCAATGACAAGTCCTGCATTTTTAAATGCATCTGGCATGGCCAGAATTCCCGTTCCTATGTTCCCCTTCAATAAATGGATCATTGTATCCAAATTCCTGAAAATGTAAGACAACAATTAAGCACATAAATACCTGATATATTTATATAGTGTACAAAAATAAATATGGAATTTATAATACAAATTACTCGATTTTGTGGTTCTACAAAAGTTTCTTTATAGAACAACTCATGAAAGTGACAAACTAACAAAGAAAGAAATCAAGTAACTAACCAACCTGACTGTGAAAAAGTCTTTCTTGAGCAGTTCACAGTTATTCAGAAAGTCAAAGAAATTCTATGCGGTTACAGAACTCATCACCAGATTTACAAACGTCTGTCACTGGGCACTATCTTCATCCAGTTCAGTTTAGGTCATACCTTATTTCTCCATCATCCATTTAAATATTATCCTCTGACCTATAAATAGGACTTCCAGGTATGTTCCCCTAGTGTTTTCCAACCAAAACTTGACATTTATTTCTTGTGTTCACCATGCATACTATATATACTTCACTGTTCTTCATTCAAACTCTGTAATTGTAAAGAGTGAAGATATAAAAATTGTGGAATTCTTCATTATGTAATTGTTTATATACTCCTGTTATATCAACTCTCTCAAAACCATAGAAAACAAAATATCCATGTGTGCTACATGCCCTACTCATTTTGTCCTTCTTCATTTAACATCCATAACTAGAATACTAACTGAGGCACTCCTTTATTATATAAGTATTTATATTGTCCTTGCACTTTCTCTCTCTTAGGCAGAAAAGAAAGCAAAATGGTTTACCTGTTATCATGTGCTCATAGTATGTTCACACTTCAGAGCTTCATTTATCATTTCTGTGCTTTGTGAATGTCACAGCTGCATACAAAGTGTTAAGAATTTTGACACATGGTCTAACTTTTACAGACATTTAACCATTATGACATTGCTGATTTCTTTCCAGTTACTCATACTAACGAATCTGCGGCCGTGTTACAGCTTCATAATGTGTATTCTTCATATAATATTATTAGAATGACAAAATCAAGGAGTATGAGATGAGCAGCACATGTACCATGTACAAGGTGGTTCAAATATGACCGGGATTGATTTGTGTGTAAACAAGCCGTACTGCGCAGCAGCTATGCGACCTTGAGAGAGTGAAGCCACAACCTCTACCCTCCTCCTGTTCGGGTCAGAAGCTGTTCAGTCCTGTCTGGGAGTTGCTATAATGATGAGTGAACAGAAGGTACCGTGGAGCGTGGAACAACGCATTGTGATCAAATTCCTCGTTGGAGAAAACGTCCCATCCGCTGAAATTCACCACAGACTCCAACAACAGTATGGGGAAGAGTCTCTCTCATGGACCCGTGTGTTTGAGTGGTGTGTAAGTGCTTCAGAGAGGGCAGAGTGCGCATGGGGAATGAACCGCATGATCGTCAGCCGCGAACATCCATCACCGAGCCAAACATTGATCGTGCAGACGCACTTATTCGTGAGAATAGGCGCATCACTATCAAGGAACTTCGAGCAATGCTGTCCATCAGTGTTGGNAGTGTGTAAGTGCTTCACAGAGGCAGAGAGTGCATGGGGAATGAACCGCATGATCGTCAGCCGCGAACATCCATCACCGAGCCAAACATTGTTCGTGCAGATGCACTTATTCGTGAGAATAGGCGCATCACTATCAAGGAACTTCGAGCAATGCTGTCCATCAGTGTTGGTAGTGTAGAAGACATTGTGAAATAGCACCTGCACTATCACAAGGTGAATGCACGGTGGGTACCACGCACTTTGACGGACGTGAACAAAATGGTGCGCATGCAAGCTGCCAGTCGTCTCCTACAGCAGTTTGAAGATGAAGGTGATGCATTTTTGAAGTCTATAGTGACCATCAATGAAACATGGGTGCACTACTTCATTCCTGAGTCCTAGCAATCATCACGCGAGTGGCAGCATACCAGTTCTCCCAAACCCAAGAGNTTATTACTCAGACCTCTTGGCAACAGACAGGAAGGAAAAGTTCCCATCCAAGCGGAAGAGAGGGGGAAAGTGGGCAGCCTTCCTTCAAGACAATGCATGCCCCATACAGCCAAAACAATGGAAACCCTCCAAAAATTGAAATGGAACCTTCTGACACATCCGCCGTACAGTCCTGATTTGGCCCCAAGTGATTTCTACCTGTTCGGAAGGCTCAAATCAGACTTGCAAGGCATAGGGTTTGTGGACGACGACGCCGTCATCCAGTCTGTTCGGGAGTGGATATGCCACCAACCACAAGCCTTTTTTGAAAAGGGCATCAGGATGCTTCCAGAACGTTGGAAAAAATGTGTTAACTCCGGAGGGGAATACGTTGAAGACTGACATGTGCAAGTAAGAGTTTGGCAATTATGGTTNAGATTGACATGTGCAAGTAAGAGCTTGGCAATTATGGTTTAGAAAAAAATCAGTCCTGGCCATATTTGAACCACCGTGTACAAGACAAGAGTAATATAAATATATAAGGCTGCGTCATAGCTCAAACGGTTAGTCACTGAATTCCCACTGCGGCGGCCCAGGTTCGATCCCGGGTCTGGTCAAGTGGGATTTATGGTGGACAAATTGGCATTGGGGCGGATTTTCTCTGAGTACTTCGGTTTTTCCCTGCCAATCTTCATTCCGCCAGGTTCTCCATCATCATAATCACCCGGGGCAGGTACAATAGGCCAATCAGTGGCCGCCATGCTAAGTGGACTCAGTTGGACTCCACCCCCACCCCCCCCACTAAGCAAATTAACAAAAAATAATAAATATATGGGTTCCATAAGTCAGAAAATTTAATGACCAGCCCCTCAAGGAGGACTTTGCCCCACAGAGTTAGTCAGTGTCACAAAACAGGTGTTTACATTCTGGCCTCACTGTGGTGATCTACATTCAGCACCAATGCAGTAAAATATCAGCTCTGTTATAACAGATAAAGTGGTGCTGAAGTAGATCTTTCTCTGAATACTTCAGTTTTTCCCTGTCATATGTCATTCCTCTCAATCATCTACCATGACCCCCTGAGGTGTGCAATAGGCCTGGCTAGTTGGCATGCTACCACAGCCTTGGTCTTTAGTTGGGGCTTCAACTCTGACCCAGTACTTGGCATACAGCAAAGAAGTTAACTTCAATTAACATTTTCATCATCATTATTGAATAAATAAAGTCAAAGTTCTCTTGGCTATTCAGTATGTGTGTGTATTATCTACACCAATCACATTTTGTGGTGTGAATGAATTTTGTTTTCTGTTTGTTGCTTTGTGGTTATATAAACAAGTGTAGTCAAACCCCTGCATGACTTCTGACGCAATACAGCAGATTCATATCTAATTATAACTCTTATCCTATCCTTAATAAACTTAGTTGGCAACTTTTTATCTTAATATATAGACATGTCATTCTTCTTTATAAGGGCAGATCAGTAACAAGTAATACTGGATGAAATGAACAACAAACTTATATAAAAATGGAGTCTGATATCACAACATCATGAACACTGGGTCCCAACAAACATTAACATTACAGTATTATGTATATATCATGAACACAGAGAAAAATTTTGGGGATAAATTCATTTATGCATTAAAATGTACCACAACTGCAATAACTTAATGTGTCTCCTAACTATATTATTCACCCCAGTTTGAAATGCTGAAATGAATAAAAGAAATTCACAGATTACTTGTATAAAGTTTATTGAATAACTTTCAAATATAGTAATCAGTTTTAAACAATTAAACATGTTTAGAAATCTTTCACTGAATTTTGCTTCGTGTGTGCATTCAAACATGCACATGTATAAAATAAATTCCGAGCCAGAATAGCTCAGTCGGTATACTGATAGGCTATGCGCTGGATGGATAGCGTTCGATTCCTGGACGGAGCAAGACTTTTCTCTTCTCCGTAACATACAGAGCAGCTCTGGGACCCATCCAGCCTCCTATACAATGGGTATCATTGACAGCTGGGGCGTGAAGCTGACTACAGACCTCCGTTGAGCACTGAGGTAAAGAATGGTGGAGCTATACCTTCATTCCCTCATATGTCTTCATGACATGGTGCTTAATTAATTAAGCACAGGGGCAACTTTACCTTTTACCTTTATGTATATCTAAATAAATATAATGCACAGTCATTATTTCTGGAGATATCATTATTTGTAGAAAGAAGAGACGTGAAAACATGGTATAGGATGTGGTTGTAGTTATTACACAGAACGCATTATTAATTAAGATCTAAAAGTCTGTGACAATGGTATATTAATACGAATATTATGTTTCTGGACATTAAATAAAAACAGTATGCTGGATAATGTCTAGAAACATAAATTTATATTATAAACTGCTTAAAAATATGGTAATTTTCCATAAAAAAGAAGTGGTCTTTCCAGACAGAGATTCTGGAATACATTAACGAAATTAAATGTGTGCCTATGGCCATCTGCATGTCCAAATAACATATCTAACCCAATCACATCTGTAACCATAAAAATGGAACAACTAGATTTCTGAAAATTTTCGTCCATTCATTCAAGAATGAATAATAATAAACATGCCAAATATTTAGTAGAATTATTATTGTCAAATATCATCATCAGAAACTTTCATATTCAGGGATAATATTTCCTTTACCTAATCTCTGGTATAAATATAAAATTAATATGATTATAATCATAATTGATAATTATCAATGAAAACTTTGTAAACAACTGTTGCAAGAATAATGTTTCTATAACAATGTCTGCAAATTATGTATTGTAAATATCTAAGAGAAGTGCAAAACATTCCTTGGAATTTGAGGGATAAGTGTCCCAGAATTGTATCATGGAAAATTCATAAAAAGTATATAATTATGGTAGGGATTCTCCAATTGTTTCTTTTTAAAAATGTTATGTCTCTAGCATTTTCCAAGTGAATGACTCAGAATTTCAATTTAGTCAACATGTTTCATTTTCCAACAGAAAATAACACGTGAAACATTCAATAAAATTATAATTCTGTAGTGTAAGGCAAGTTCAATGTTATTCACGTAACCGAGAAATTCCATTGTCTTATGGAATCTGAAAATTCATAACTCTGTTTACAAAACCTTGCCACTGGACACAAATCATAAGCCAGTACATTGTACTTCATAACTTCATGTATATTTCTTTTGAAATTCAATACAATATTAGCCTCAAAATGATACCCAAAGTCTTTCAGTTCCTTTCTTTCCCTCAAGTTCTCCAACCAAACTTCTATATAGAAATCTTCTATTCCATACAACACATCATTTCCCCCCCCCCCTTACATTCTTATTAATTTAATCAATTTATCATTAGATAATAAATAAAAACAGTTATTTTTAGTTATTATTATTATTTTTGTATTTCATAAGAAAAGGTTGCAGCACGAAGCATTATTGCATGCTTCTCTAAAGAAAGCCTTGTGTGTACTTTAAATATACAGTCTAAGATAAAGTTGTGGTTAAATTTCAAACACAGGAGCACTTACGAGGTAGGATGTTCAAGCTCTCGGTTGAGAATCGGATTATATGCGCTATCTCCTGCACTGTGCCCATAGGATGGCTTCATGTCCACCATACCACCAGACTCCAGAGGACCTGGAAGGTGAACTATCATGCTATCTGGTGATGTTCGGACATCAGGCCTTGGGATCGACCCTTTATCATACGTGTCATTAAGAGGTTCTGCACTGCTGAGAAGCAATGGTTGTCTTTCTTCTTTCTTCATTTTCGTCAATTTTGCTGTCGCTGTTATACCTGAATTTAGCTGTAATGAAGTAAATTAATAATATTTAAAATTCTGTTTCACTGAATAACAAATGATAGTTCTGAATGAATATGAAAAACATGCCAGGACTTTCTCCTGAAGGTTTGCGCTCACTTCAGAGACTCTGGAACTATTCTAACTATAGATATATGAACCCTACAGCACAATTGTGGTACAATGCCAAGGCTGGAAGCAATATTCTCGAATAAGGAACACTGTTATTTCATCAGAGGATGTCCCCGGTTGTTGAAGAGCTTAGGTGTTTTAACGAAAAACAGAAGTGCTTCAAGTTACACACGATTATCTTGCTTAGCAACCCTGAATCGGTTGAAATAGATGATACATCTATCAGCCTATAGCTGTAGCATTTGCAGCGTGGACATCTATTAACTTTGGCGAGGTGAGGAAATATATATGTATATTTATACGCACACAGATATGACCTAAGAAACTAAAAAGATGTTCTCAAGTAACCTAAGTATCTATGAATGATTCAACTTTGCAAAATTGTACATGAGTACACAGGATTTCATTTTGACGAGAGGGAAGCGTTTTCAAAAAATCCAACACAAACTATACTTTATTGTGAGGTTTGGGGTTCACAATGAACATTACTGCCTTCTTGGATGTGACAATGTGTAGTATGATAGATGTCTGAAGACTTTCAGAGGAACATGCTGCCTCCGTCTTCAGGTTGAAGGGTACTTACTCTTTACACTTCTTTTTTACACTTTACACAGTAATACACCAATTCACAAATCAAAAATGCTAATATAAATTTTGGTTCCTTCATGATGAAAACATTCTTTTCTAACTAATTCGATTATAAAAAATTATTTCCTCTCACACATCTGGGTAGGACGCAGTTGAACCCATGACCCCATCCCTTTTATATGTAGATAACCCTTTCCCCATCTCCAATTGACCTGACATATGGTGGAAGCTTCTGCAGAATGTATGCTGCTTACAAGGTCAGCTGCTAGTCATGTCCTCATGTTATTTAACGGCATCTACATTTGAAACAGAGTTGGTAAATAATCTAAATTTCATATATACACATATATATAGGAATCAGGTTAGCAGTCACACAGCAAATATACCCGCTTTTAATATTTTATAATTATACTTCTTATTCCTGCTGTTTTGGTCATGCAAGAGCATTATCAGGCAGTTAATATAGGAATACGTTTACTTATTGAACTGCTGGAGACTGCGCCATAGCTCAAGCGGTTAGCTGCTGGCTTCCCACCGCGGTGACCTGGGTTCGATGCCAGGTCTGGTCAAGTGGGATTTGTGGTGGACAAAGTGGCGCTGGGGCAGGTTTTCTCCGATTTCTTCGGTTTCCCCTGCCAGTCTTCATTCCACCAACTGCTCCACAACCACCCTCACCTATCATCTGGGGCTGATACACTAGGCCAGAAGTGGCCGCAGTACAAGGGACTTAGTCCCATCCCACTAGCAATAAAAAATAATACTGAACTACCGATATGGATCCATACCAGTGCAACTTGTCATATTATATAACAACAGAAAATATGCCTCAAGTTGGTATTACAATTAAAATAAGATAAAAGTTAGTTACTTACTTACACATGGAGCTGAGCCCTTCTGGAGGAACCACCAATTCTGCAGCTACTCAAGAATTTCCCAACATTTTATGGAACCCGAAGGTTCATTACCATGTTCACAAGAGCCCTCCACTGGTCCCTATCCTCAGCCAGATCAATCCAATCCATACCATCCCATCCTATCTCTCTAAGATCCATTTTAATATTGTCCACCCACCTGTGCCTTGGTCTTCCCAGTGGTCTCTTTCCTTCTGGCTTTCCCACCAATATACTATACGCATATAAAAAATGAAATACATATCATTCTCAAGATATATTAGGTGACATAAGTCTTGAATATTCAGTCATTCATCAGTAATCTGTCAGATGACAGGTCCACAGTCTTTTCCAAAACAGTTCCTCCACTTAATGCGATCTCAAGCTTTCTCCTTCAAATAAAAATATCCTCTTCTGTCGCCAAAGTCATCCACCACCTTCTTACGTCTTCTTCCTCATCTTCTGGTCACTTCTATCTGCCCCTCCAGTTTGTTTTGTCTCCAGAGGAAACCTCTCGCATACATGGTATCTCTGTTTTTGGAAAGAGACTATCCAGGAAAAGTGGTAATGTGGAAGTTTTTCCATTTGCTTTCCACATTGCAGTACAACAGCCATTCAAACCACTCTGGTCATGCCTGTTGCTATACAAACTTGAACCATCTCGAGCATCATTTGCTCTGTGCTTCAAGTCGCTGCTGATGACGATATTTCCGTCATCAGTTTTTGGTTTTTAGTGTCTCTCTTCGTCTGATGCCTACCCTTTGACCTGTCCAGCAAGGGAGGCCCTGCCAGTAGCTACACTATTGCTGGTATAGCTCTCAGGGTACTTGGCATACTTAGACCCCTCACCACGATAAGGTGAAGACACCAACGAGGGGGTCTTGAATATATTACGGAAATATTAAAAATACTTAAAATTTTCTGTTAGTATATAATATGACACGTTGCACTGGTATGGATCCATATCGGTAGTTCAATAACTAAACGTATTCCTATATTAACTGCCTGATGATGCTCTTGTACGACCGAAACATGTAGCAGGAATAAAAAGTATAATTTTAAAATATTAAAAGTGAGTATATTTGTTGTGTGACGGCTAACCTAATTCCTATATATATATATATATATATATATATATATATCTGTGTGTGCGTGCGCGTGCGTGCGTGTGTGTCTGAAATACACAACAGGATGTGATCAATGAAGATAATCTAAAATTCGATCATTTCCTAGGAGTGTGAGCCACAATAGCTCAGTCAGTGAAGTGTCTGGCTATAAGCTGGATGGGTAGGATTTAATTCTTGGCAGGAGCATTGGAAAAATCTCCTAGTTACATCCAGACCTAGAAAAAACAGACATCCAACTATGATTCTATCCTACACACAGCAGTGCAGAAGCTCTTCTCTACCCAGCATAGTTTTAATATATGTGGAGCACTGTTTACATTCCAATTGAGTACTTCACACATATAGAAGCAGAAATTATTTAGCTTCTCAGTTAACTAAGTAATTTGTGTTTCTAAATGTGATGAACATAAAAATTTTCTAATCACTGAGGTTTCCATGTTGGTGACTATTCAGACTGTGGTCTTCTGGACTTGACACTGTTAAGTGGATACTAATGCCTCGAAGGAACATGCTGCCTCCATCTTCAGGATCAAATTATTCGGTGTTAGGAATCAGTTGGGTTATTAAGGCTATTTTCCTTTTCATATTCTAGTTGGTCTAGGCCACTTCCTGTCTCCTCTCCCCCTCCCGCAGATCTAAGTGACCACCTTCCTTGTAACCTGCCTCTACAACCAAACAGATCCCTCACCCTACACACTCTATTGGAGTCAGGATAGCTCAGGTGATATAGCTATGGGCTTGACGGCTAGAGTTCGATTCCGAGCATGGAAGATTCTTCTCTTCTCCGCAGCATTCATAACGGCTCTGGTGTTCACCCAGCCTAATGTCCAATGGTAACCGGGGACGATTTCCCCGGGAGTAAATCGGACGGGTCGTGAAGCTGACCACTCATCTCCATCTACTGCCGAGGTCATGAATGGAGGAGCTATACCTCCACTCACCTCTTCGTGACAAAATGCTTAATTAATTAATTAATTAATTAAACACAGGGGCAACTTTATCTTTTTATACACTGTGGCTCTGACAATATAGACAAACGTTCCACCAAAACACTGGTACTCATGAACAAGAGTACCTGAAGTCACAACCTAGGGACCACAATCTGAACGGTAAGGTTCCACCGAAATGGTGAAATTTTTTAACACATCGCCAAAAAACGATAAACAAGACTCTGCAATTAGAATGAACGATTACAAAAACTTCATATCTAAAAACATAACTTCTCCGCATAGCAATGTATGCTATTTTATAATACAAAGAATGTATTAAAAGTACAAACTTGACTGTGTGGAAAACCATGCAACAGAAATTACATGCAGGCATAGTCATATAAAAAACACACACATCAAATTTTTAGACTCAGGTTATTTTAGTTAGTACAAAAATAAACAGTTATAATATAAACAAATATCTACAATATTCTATGGTCTATTAAATTCTTTGTTTACATTACAGCTAATAAAAAGCTCTTGTACATAATATGGTTTCTAGTTACACGCACAAAATATTGGTTGCTGTAAGTTTATTTAATGGCGTTCGTCAACTTCAAATCGTCAAATGTGAAATGATGAGTCGGAAAGGATACTGAAGGTAACATCTGCCGCTCTTTCAGCTTCTATCCAGGCATTTTCTTGAGGTGACTAAGTAAAACCTCAGTCAGGATATCAGGTCAACTGACCATACAGGTTTGTCCAGAGGGAAAGCGTTACACTCGTATCTGAGGGGTGCTCGGTTCGAATCTGGGCCGGAAATCGGTCCATCCTGAAGTGGTTTTCCCCACTACTTCCAGGCAAATGCCAAGGCAGTACCTCAATAAGGTCAGGGCCTATTCCTTCGAAACTATTCGTCATTCATCACTAGTCATTCTACCACTGAATACAATCTTGATACTGAAAACGTTGTTAAATAACCCATGACAAAATCAGTTCTTCTGACAGATTCGAACTATGACCTGAATACTGACGCATAAGACCACTGCTAGGCAACGGCTCGGTAAACACATTCCCGAAGTTACGCTCTCAACAACAGAAGGACATCCGTTTCAGGGCAAAGGGTTGCTAAACATGTTTCCGCAGCAACGCACAATTACACAATAATAGAGGAACTCCTGAAGGTGCTGATCTCTATTAGGTTCTTCCCGAAGTTGTAAAGGGAGGACATATGAGAAAGCTCAATCAGCTCAGAAGTTCAGAAGCTGTAAGAGAACTGAGACATGAGGACAAGAATTGAGCGAGTTCTCGGCAGTAGATTGACTGTGAGTTATTGTTAA